CAAGTCAAGGGTTAAAATCCCCTTACCGGTCATCTTTTTAAAAAAAAAAAAAAAAAAACACACACACACACAAATGAAATATCTTGCTTATCAGATTGGCAAAAACTTATTTAAATGAAAATAAATATGCATTTTTATACACTGCTGGTGAGAATGTAAATTAATTCCACCTCCTGGGGAGCAATGTGGTAATGGGCATCAAGACCTTTCAAGAAAAGTTGACACCTTCAGGATAGGGATCCCCAAGACCACCTTCAGGTTCTAATTCGCTAGGAGGACTCATAGGAATCAGCATATAGGCGGCACTCACGTCTATAACTTATTATAGAACGTCCTGGGCTCAGCCCTATTCCCTTCCTTTACTTCCCATGCCCTGTTCTAGGCCACTCCAAGTACCCCTCCGCCAAAGCCCTGATGGGTACTGCCTCTCCCTGACATCAAGGAGCAGCCATTCTATCAGAGAGCTGTGTGGATACGACGAATGTGAAAGATGTGGCTCAGGTCTTATATTTTCAACTTGACTCTTTTCTTCTTCAGCTCATCCAGTTCCTTCCCTAGCTGCTTGGACTCTTGTCTCTTCTTCCACATCCCTCCGAGCATCAATCCCTACTACTCCACTCCTCTTTAAAGACAGCCCTGACCTCAACCTCACTTGGGGTTTAAGGTTAAGGTTTTTGAGAATAGGAAGGGCCTGAGAAATGGACCCAAAATGACGATGATACATGGACAGAGAAACCTAGAAGAGTAGGAGGCAGGCAAAGAATCAAAACACACGTGAGAAGCACATGAGGTCATCTATCTACACCCAAAAGAAAATGCAATAAAATACCTGGGAAAACTCATGTTTAAAAAACAAGTTTTGGGGCCGGCCCCGTAAGCCACAAGGAGAGAGTGTGGTGCTGGTAGCGCCGAGGGCGCGGGTTCGGATCCTATATAGGGATGCCCGGTGCGCTCACTGGCTGAGCGCGGTGCAGACAACATCGTGCCGAGGTTTGTGATCCCCTTACAAGATTTGTGCCAAAAAAAATACATCTCTTGGTTTTTGCAGGCACTAATTCCCTGAGTGACCTCAAATTATTTCCTGTCTGGAACCTCATTTTCTCTCTAAGGGAGAAGACCCAAATGATTTCTGAAGACTTTCGAGCCCTAACATGTGGCAATGATCTGTGGGCCCCAGAGGTGCAATGCATGACGTTTAACTGGGTCCAAACCCCTAGCCCAGGGAGCAAAGCAATGAACAGGGGTAGGGAAGCAGTGGTGACGGGAACTTGACTACAAAACTATGTGTACATGTGCATTTTTCTAGGAAAGGGGCCAGAGCTATCAAAGGAGTTGATGGGTCAAAGAGCCTGAAGGGTCTCTGAGACTTTTCCAGTTCGTTAATTGCAAGGTTCCGGAACCACCCAGCCCAGCCCGCACCTTCCCTTCTTGCCCTCAGCAAGTCGTTCCGATCCGGGGGGAAAAGAGATCACGCCTCGTATCTCGTCCGGCTGAGCCCCAGCCAGGGGTTTACCTGCTCACAGGCTCTGGCCTGCGGCTCCTCTGTGACTCGTTTCCCACCTTTAGGCGAACACGGCCCGGACATTCACCACGGGCGCCGCCATGTTGGGAGAACAACAACTTTATTGGTAGCGGCCGCCGCAGACACAGACAGGAGAGGGCGGCGCCGGCGGAAGAGAGAGAGCTGCCGGGTCCTCGACTCCAGCAGCCCGTGGGGCTGGGGCGCCTGCGCAGCGGCTCTGGGCTCCGCCCCCCGGCCCCGGGCACCGCCCTCAGCCCCGGCCTTTGCCATGTGGCTGGTCTCCGCGAAACTGTAGGCTTCGTGGTCCCAGATTAACCCAGGCGGCAGGTGGGGAAAAGAGCGCTGGGGTGGTCCAGACACCCGGCTTCGAATCCCAGGTAGCAACAGCCGCCTCCTGGCCTTGGGCAGGTCTCTTGATCTCTTGATTCGTAATGGACCACACGATGGCTGAGACATCTTACACCATACTCCGTGCACTTCTCGCCCTGGGAGGGGAATTACCTGACCAAGACTAGACTGGGAGTAAAGTGCTTTTCTCACCTGAAAAGTGGGCTGAGAGTCAGGAAACCACGATGCCTGACCAGCAACTTTCCTAGAGGAGTTTATGTATCCCAATGCCCCCCACCCACTACACACCCTCGGCAAGTGTTTCTTGCTTTAAATAAATGAGTAGATAGATAGCAAAGGACCAGTGGTGTGAAAACATAATTTTCAAAAAGGTAAAACCTGTTTAAAGGAGAATTTTAAGAACATGTACTAGTATATGTGGGCAATCAGGAATATAAAATGAATTTGCTAATTGTGCCAAATTGGTTGATATGCTATAGGACAAGAACAAATAATGTTTGGGAGCCATCTTTTTCTACAGGGCTTAAATCAATTGTACCTCTACCAAGCAAAGTTTGTCACATTACTATCCGTATTTTACATCTTAGCTTCTGAACAATAGTTAAATAGGAAGGCAACCAAAGGTGCACACACCTACAGAATCAATAATCCCACACAAGGGACACACAGTGATCTCTTGCCCATTTCCAAGTCTTTAACAAAGTTTCCTGACAAAATCCATGTAGCTTGTTATTCAAAATGTGGTCTCCAGACCAACATCAGCATCACCTGGAAATTTGCTAGACAGGAAGAATTTCAGGGCGCATCCCGAACCTGCTGAATCAGACTCTGAATTTTAACAAGATTATCCTGTGGTTCTAGGAGCATTCGAGTTTGAGACTCACTGTCCGAAAATTGGAAAGTTGAAGAACACTCTAGTCCAGCCTGTTCATTTTACAGATGAATAAACCAAGGCCCAACAGAACTGACTGTCTTGCAAGTTAGTAAACATTTGATATTCAAAGCTGGGTCTCAGGTCTGCCAGAGTAGTACCCATCCCAAATTGCAGAGCGGAAGGTCATAAGGAGCTTAGAGCTTCCAGTCTTATTTCAGAGATGAGGCCACGTAGGCCAAGAGATTAGACACAGCTTGCATAAGGTGATGCATGTATTTGATGGCAGAGTCAGGGTTCCAACCCACATCTCAATTTCCCCACCCCTAACACGAGATGCCCAATTTAAACTAATACCATGGAAGCATTGATTGGCATATTAACTTGGCACCTTTAATGCAATTTAACCTTGTTAAATAAAAATTTAGGTGGCCATCGTTCCGGACTAAGTTCCTGCACTAGGCCCCAACCGTCCAGACTCACCCCTCCTAAGTTCTAGTCACAAAACCTAAACTAAGTTGTGGTCTGACCT